TCGTCGTCATCATCACCATCAACATCATCATCGTCGTCATGATCAACGGCATCAGCATCATTACCGTCATCATCAATAGTATCGCCTCCATCATCATCATCATCCTCATCCTCCTCCTCATCCACATCCTCCTCCTCATCCTCATGATCCTCCTCCTCCGCATCATCATCCTGAGCAGCATCGTCAGCAGCACCATCATCATCCTCATCATCAGCAGCAACACTATGTTCAGCATCATCATCAGCATCATCATCCCTCCACTACCCCTGCTCTCCCTCTCTCTCTCTTACCCCGCCTCCTCCCTCCTACATCTCCCTTCCACCCCTCCCCCGTCCTCCTCCTCAATCATCCCCCTCCATACCCTCCCACGTTCCCCACCTCTGCCCTCCCACCTCAAGAAACACAGGATCTGTGCGGCGAGCTTTTCTTCCGCTCGAGCCGCATCCCCCGCCCCCTCGCCCTTTCCCCTTTCCTCGCTCCTCTCTACCTCAAGAAAGAATGTGCAATCCCACGACGCAGTCGGCGCCTTCAGTATGCGGAGAAGGAGCAGCAGCATGAAGCATGACACGCGTCGAGATCGCACCAGGTGGGAACGCGGCAACCACTATGTCGGCAACAGCGGACTGTTCGAAAATGAGCGCAACACCACTCCACGAAACGCAAAAGCAGCACCGGGCTCCTCGGCGGTCACACCGTTTGCGTCCATCAGCTCCGCCTCAAGGGCAAGGAACGTGGATGGCATTGAAGCCAAGGGGGGAAGAAAGTGAATAAGAGAAAGAGAGATAGAGAGAGAGAGAGAACATTCAAAAAGAGAGAGAGATGTAACAACGAAAAGCGGAGATGGCTCACTGTGCAATTGCGAACGGCATCAAAGTCTGACTCCTTCTGGGGGAACTAGAGTACCAATGCCACTACTCCACAGACCTCTTCCGAGGTGCGTTCTAACAAGCGTTTCGAGGATAATCTGGCCGTGGCGACGAGGGCACACCAGGTCGAGCAGCGGCATCTTTATCCTGACGGGGACGACGACGACGACGACGACGGCGATGACGACGACGACGACGACGACGACGACGACGACGACGACGACGACGACGACGGCGGCGGCGGCGACGGCGGCGGCGCCTGCCAAGATGAGAATACTGAAGCATTTACATGCGAAACACCCTGGCTCAAACTTAAGCCTGCTGGGTGAGACGTCTCGACGGTAAGCGCTTGCACGATTATCTTCACTGGCGGTGTGCGGGATGCCGGCGCTGCATCGAAAAGGAAAGCGCGGGACCCGATCGCAAAAGGAAGCGACACTATTTTCGCGCCCCTGGGGGCGAGGCGGAAGAGAGCGCTGGGGAGGCGGGCCAGTCGGTGCGGCAGGTCCTCGCGCACCACGGACAGTTTGCAGATACTTACCCGCCACCTAGCCGAGGACCCCCTCTCCACCGCTCTGGCCCCCGTGAAGTAGGGGCTCCGCCTACTCACGATGGACACGATTGCCCACTCCCCCAGCGGCAGAACCTTCCTGCTTGACAAAGCGCGCGGCACACCGCTTCCCACCATACGGCAGGAAGGTGATCGTCAGCTAGCCGTTCGCGGCCTTGGGCACTGCGGGGGGCTGTCTCACGCACTGTGCCCAGCACGCCCATCTTGTAGTGGTACTCAGTCCGTTGGTGTGCGTGTTCCGACTTCTTTTTTGCGCGATAGGCAGGCTCTCAACAGGCGCGACGCGCAGTCGTGGGGGCCTGGCGCGGCAAGGCCCCAGTCGGTCCAACACCATCGTGCGCTGCGTGACACGCTGCAGCGCAAAACGCACAAAGTCGGCCCAGCTGCCCCCAGGGAAGTGCACTTCGCCGAGGAGAAAGGTCGCCTGCCCGCGCGCTGGTAGCCGCTCCTCCCACCCAGGGCACGCACGTCCAAGCACACCCGCTAGCGTCGCAGCATTGGCGCCGCACCACAGACGTGAACGCTGCCCGCACCTGGGTGAGATAACCGCCGTGGTGTAGAGGACTGACCACCATGCCGCAGGCAATGCTCCGAGAGCTGCTCCGACATGCCCGTTTCTCCGAGCGCCCCCTGTATCCAGTCATGGTGGAGATCCTCCAAAGTTCATCTCGGCGCCGTGATCGGCAGCGCTCCGCCGTGGCGCTGTCGGGCGCCCG